CATCAGTTATTTTTTGCTGTATATTTACATTCTGTCTGCATTGCAACCATGGGGCAAAGTTAATGCATAACAATAGTTTTGGTAATGAGAAATAGTGTGAAATCAACCTTCATAAAGCATTTTGTTCATCTTTTATTGCTTGTTATTTTCTCTGCAAGGGAATGTTAGAATGGAATGGTATCTACTGATTTAAATACCTTGTTTGTGCCTTGTTTATACCTTGTTTATAGCTAGGCAAAGAGTACTTTTCCATTTTATTCCTTGGCGAATGGCATTCATCTTTTGATTGTTCCTGCTAACCTCTTGTGTAAACTGGATTAGGTAAACTCTGATTGCTTGCATCAGCTGGGGCTTTTATACATGTTTGACCTTCAAAAGGAATTTACTTTATGTTTTTATGAAGATAGATTGGAAGAGATTAAAAAAAAATTTCTTTGAAGTATTTGGAGCATTTCTTAACAGACCTGGGACAGAGCTACTTTGGTCAGTGAGGCATCTCGGCATCATTCAGTTGTTTCTTCCAGTCTGGTATAAGGTGGAGGAAACCCTCTTCTGAGCTTGTTTCAGTGGCTGTAGTGCTCTGGTTTGAGAACACTGTGGGCACTGTGCCAGTTAAGAGCTTTCAAAATACGACACAGCGAGAAACGTTTTCACATTTAATTAAGGCTGAACAGGTCTGAGAACAAAGGTACAGATACCCTACAATTCATTGAAACAGGACTTTTGATGTCTCTGGCTGAACCAACTTATTTCATTTGTTTCAGGGCTCAGTTTCTGAGGACAGAATAACAGCATGAATCAAGCATGGCTGAGAGTTTGGACTAGTACAGAACTGCATGAGCTTTTTAGCAGCTGGTACCTGGTTTGGCTACTGATACGGCCACCAGGTTGCACCCTGCTGACTGCACAGTATCAAGGGTAGGTGTCTGAGCCCTGTCCCTGCTCGGCTCTGAAGATTAGGGCTGCCTGTGGAAGCTTGGTGAAATCTCATGCAGGGAGGCCTTGAATTGTCAAAGGCAGGAAAGCTGAATTAGTGCTTTGAGAAGTCCTAAGGTGCAGGAGGGAGGAATGTTCTGGTAAAGGGTTCTTGTATTTCTGTCAGTGTAGTGATTATGTGGTTTCGGTAGTAGGCTGCCTCCAGTACTGGTAATCCCACATCTTTCACAAGTATTCATGTCAGAAAATGATTATAATGCCAGGATTTTGAGAAGAAAACAGCACTGTTTTCAATCGCACCTTCTATTTTTAACTGAAATTTCTGTGGTGGGAGCATTTTTTGCAAAATAGTTGAGTCTGTACGGAGCTGTTCAAACCAGGGCCTGTCCTATTTTCCAGTGGTGGTGGTGGTGAGCCGCTTCACACAGCGGAGATGTCATTGACACAACAATTTTGCTTTGTTAGTGCTGCATCAGTTGCTGGCTAATGCAAGTAATGTGTTTACACGTAACAATTATGCAAAGAAAACAGCTTCACAGGGTTTCTACAGAGATATCCACTTGTGGGAAATGTGTGTTAGTGTAAGATTTTTCTTCTCTTGTTGCTTTATTTCCCAGATAAAAATCAGCTCAGTACCATACTTAGCAATTTCAGAACAATCTCCAGCAACTGCTGTGATTAGAAATTGACAGCCTGGACATTCTTTTTTTGTTGTTCCTAAGCCTGAAGTTTGTGCCTTTTGCTCTTTAAGAAGCTAATTTTTGTCGAAGGACACCTTCTCAACATATGGTCATTTTCTATGGTGGCTTTTAAAGGGTAAGATCTTTTCATTTGTAGCTATCCTAAAAAAAAAAAAAAAAAAAGTTATCTTGTAGGCACTGTTGCTATTTGTTCTTTTCTTGTTGGTTGACTTTTAAAACTTATTTGAACAAAATGGCTTTAGAAAATGGATGGTTATCTTGATCCTGGTTGTCACAAGTCAGGAAAATGTCACTTGTAAATATTTAATGAGCCTTTGTGCAACTGACCTGATCAAGAACTGGGTAAGGACACAGTAATAGGAGCTGGGCTTCTGTAACCCGGATCTGTGAGGAAAACAGAGCACCTTTCCTTTGCCAGGCTTTCTGTGATTTAACTTATTCGCTTGCATTGTAACTCACTTTTTTCTTTGATATTTAAAGTGAGTTTGTAAGTAATGTAGGGCTCATTGTTTGGAGCCCTACATTAACAGCTTCCTCCCCCTTAGCTAGTTTGGTTTTCTGTGTGGTTTTTCACTTGGGGTTTTCTGCTCCTTGCATAAAGGAGACAGAATACTGAGTAAAAGAAAACCAAGCTCTCCCCACTTCCCCTCAGCTGCATCTCTGCAGACCATAAAACCCCACCTTTTCATCTTTATGCATCTTGACACTCAGTTTTTTGCATTGTCCCCCTGTGTGGGAGAGTGAGTTTGAACACAGTTGAGAAGTCTATGGTGACAGAAATGCTCACAGAATTAGCTGCATTGGAACTTAAAACTGCTACTAATTTATCACAAAGAGGAAAGTTAAAAAGCTTTGATTTTCAGTATGCTAGTAACTATTGAAATCTACAGTTTTAAATCCCCCAAGGAGTACAGGCAAAAAGGAGGATAGGTGTACTTGCATAACATTCTGGATGTTTTTGTGGTGCTATGTGTTTTCAGAGCCTATGTTTCCTGGTGCATTGTCAGCTTGTGAGCAGTAACACACAATGCGTGAGTGCCATCGCAGATGCTGATTAATACTTTTTGGGAAGAGTTAAATTTGTCACTTTCATCTCCTTTCTTGATGCCTTCTACATGCTACCAGTTTTTTTTTTTTTTTTTTTTAATTTTTAGCAAGCCCAAGAACAACTGGTTCTGCAGCACAACACTTCAAGGTGGTCTACGTGCCATTAGTTGCCCCCATGCAGGCCAATTGGCTGTAGTTCCTCATGAAGTCTCAGGGAATTCTTTTAGAAACACTGAAGCTCAAGAAATGAAACACAGCCTTCAACACTGAGGTAATAAGGCTGGCAAGGGATGTCTAGTTACCTTTTTTAGCCAGACATCGCCTAATGTCTGGCTACTAGTTACCAGTGTCTGGCTACTAGTTACCAGTGTCTGTCAGTGAATAGCCCTGGAAATGGGTCATCTCTATGTATTGCAGTATTTCTGTCTTTGATGGCATATTTGGCAGCAGTATGTACTGCAACAGCAGCTTTGCCTCAGTACTGGTGTTACAAGAAAGACCATAGAGAAGTGCAGAGGGTAGAGGGACATGATTTCTTGTGACAAAGGAAGTGTGGAAAACACTTGGGAAAAACAGCATGCTGTTTGCTCAGTGTGCCTAATTTCCTGTCATTTCTTTATTACCCAAGGGAAAATGACAGAAGTACTTACTGTACAGCTTGTATTTCTTCCTGAGAAATTTGTTAGGATGAGAAATTTCAGATTGGCCTTTATGAGACCCTTATCCTCTGTGTTTGGAGCAGATAAAGATGCAGTCACCCAGTCTCCACCTTCTTCCTTTTTTAAGGTGGCTTGTATTTGGTTGACCAGGCAAGGATGACTGTCTAGTCACAGCAGTATTTTCACAAGTGTTTAATGCCAGTCAACAGAATGAGGAAGAGCCTTTTGTTTGGCTAGTTATCACGAGGCTGCATAAACTTTAAAAGCAAGAAAAATCCAATGAAAGCATGGAACTGACCTTTACCAATTTCACAATCTATGCCTCAGGGATGACACGATGTAATTGCTTTGACAAAAGAGCACGACAGTGCCAGGATGCACAAAGTGTGTACCTCTGGTTGGCCTTGCCAAAGCAGTAGGTACCCATTTCAGTGTTACGTATTTGGCTTTGGGTTCTCAGTGCTGCTGGGGGCATACCCTGGGTTGACTTGTTTCACAGTAACTTGAACTAACTCCCTCTTTCCAGGAGAGCTTTATTTGTGGCAGCTGGGGATCTTCCCTTCGTGTGTTCTTGACCAAATAATGCTGCCTTTGTTAAATTAAAAATGAACTTTTTTCTTTCGCTCAAGTCAAAACCAAAGAGATTAATACATCTCAAAGGGCAAACCCTGACAAAGTCACCATTATTCCTCCTCTTCTCTTTGCTGCTGTGCCCGATGGGTGATGGCAGGCTGCAGAGGGCTCACCCAGGCCCTGTGGGGAGGGTGGGGAGCTGACAGCGCAATGGCGTGTCAGCAGATGGAGCCCAGGGGGACGGCGGGGCTCTGGTTACAGCTCGAGCACAATGTGGGATGGAGTGCCAAGTGTTGGGCTGACCCACAGAGAAAGGCTTTGAGCGTGTGCCAGGACCTGGAACTTGGGCTGAAGAATCCCCAGCCTGTCGTATCGGAACCGTGTGCCATCCTTTGTTTTTAAAGGACGATGAAATGTCAACGTTGTCCCAGTCCGGCATGGAACCAAGGTTAAAGTACCAGAATTCTCTATGGATTGGGGTTCTCCTTGCTGCTGTCTGATTGGCACTGGGGAAGCAGTGCCGGGCTGTGAGCAGAGTCTGTGCTGCTGCAGATGGACTGGCTGCACAGAGAGTGAAGGCACAGTTAATCTAAAGGCATTCTTATGGCATGGGATGTCCTGAAAGATCTCTAACAGACACGTGAGCTGTACTCAGCAATACCAAACTATGTATTTTGCTCTTAATGCTCTCTTTTCAATTAGATAAAGAGGTGAAGGGCCTGCCGGACTTCCCGCACCCGAAGCTGGACTGCATTCGACTCCGTACACGGCGCTAACGGGGGCCGTAGGTTCCTTAGGGGCCGCGGCCGTTCCTCCGCCCACACGAAGTGGGAGGGCCGCCTCACTCTGGCCGCAGTCTTGTCGCTGTCTCATTGGCTGCCTTGCCCGTCGCTCCTACGAAGCCCCGCCCGCATTCCCCAGCTGGATCCGTGGGGCCCTGGGGTCGCAAAGCGCCGATTGGGGCGCGGTCCGCCGCCCCGCCGCGCTCCTTAACCCCCATTGGCCACGTGGGCGGCGGGGGCGGGGCCTAGCGGGGGCGCGGCTCGCAGCTGGCGGGGGCGCCCCGCCCGACCCGGCACTCCTGGCTCCGGCGGGGAACGCGGCCTCGGAGCGGCGCCGGTAGCGGCGGCGGGCGGCCCATGGGAGTGGGCGGCACGGCTTGAGCTCGGGCGCGGGGCAGCCGGGGCCGCCATGGAGGTGTGCGAGAGCGGCGAGCAGCCGCCGCTGCTGCATTGGGATCGCAAGCTGAGCGAGCTGTGCGAACCCGCCGACCCCGACACCCTGCTGGGCCACACGGTGAGGAGGGCAGGGGCGGCCCGGGGTGGCGGCTTCAGGCCGGGCTGGTGGGCCCTGCGCTTGTTGCGGGGGTTCCGTAACACTGACTTCGGGAATAGTGGCTTCGGGAGCTCTTGCGCTTTCTTGCACGACGTGCTGCTCCTGTTAGATCCACCGAGTGCAATTGGATGTCGGGCGGTGACTTTTAAAGACCCACCAGGAGCTCTTGGCTGTGGAAGGCCCTTCCTTCAACAGCTGTGCTGCGGTGGTCCTCTCTTTCCTTCCTCGACAAGGCAAGGAGGGGTGTTGTGGTGAGATGAGATGCCCTCTGGGTGCTCCAGCCATGCCATGTGGTTGGGATCCCCGGGAGAAAAACCATGAGCCCACTTTTCTCCTAGTTCACAAACTCCTATTCCTTTAATTAGTGCCCTGAAACAGATCTGGTGGTGCTTGCGGCTGTGGTTGTACACAAATGTGTCACTGTCTTGCTTTGGGGAGCTGTGACTTGGTTTCAAGTGTTGCTTGGCAGACAGAATGCCCCATAGTTGCAAACAGGGTGGCTGTCCCACTGCTGTTGGGAGTTGGAAGCACCAAGTGCTACCTTGAGCTGTGTTATCGAGGGGAAGAGCGTCACGAAGTCTGCACTGACATGGGCTGTGAGCCTCTTTGTTGGGAGCCACTTTCTACTGTTTATGTTTGTCTGTATGGATTTTGGCTGATTTTCTCCTTAGGTGCTTATAAAGAAAAAACTTCTTTAGGGGCTATGTTGAAGTGTAATAAAAAGCATGTAATCAATTTAGCTTTTGTTGTTTTTGGAAGAATTCCAAGAGAAGCCATCCGTAAAGAAATATCAGTGCAGCAAAGCGCCGTGGATAAGGTGGATGTTGTGGGGTGCTGGGAGCTTCAAGGGGGCAAAAAGAAAGCTTTCTGAAATGATCACTTTGGGGGAAAAAGCACAGATTTCCACACATTGAACTTTATTTCTTCTGCAAAACGTTCTGCACGAAAAAAAAAATTCTGCACGAAGCAAAACAGTGTGCTTGACATCATGAAACACAAGCTCTCCATTTAAGTCTGGCTAAAGCTTCATAGGATCATTGAAATGAAAGCAACAACAAAATCAGTAAAAACCACCACCCAAAAAAAAGCCCTCTAGATGAAACATCTGTTATTCTCCTGCCTTCTGCTTTCAATGTGGGAGGACTTGTTTGACCCAGCTGGTTCTGCTTTGGTTGTAAGCTTGTTTGCTGGTGTTACTGAAAAGAAAAGGATGAAGGGTGAAGAGCTGAGCCTCCTATGTGCTGTCTGTGGCATCTTCTGGCCCTTGCATGATTCTAAGGTGCCTTGTAGCTGTGGGTGCAGCAGTGCAGCTGTTGCTTTGCTCAGAGATGCACGTTACCATGCAGGATGGACCAGTACTGATGCCTACAGATCTCAGTCCTTCAGCAGTGTGAAACTGGTGTCCTGGTGTTAGATGTGGGTCTGTCTCTGCCACATACCTGGGTGTGCCCACCCTTCTGGATGTGCTTGGGAAGAGCCGTGAGGTCCAGCAGTGCAAGCAGGGGAGGCAAAGGCAGAACAGCTGGTTGGCATGCATGGCTGTAAGAACAGGGATTCACTTCCTTCTCCAGGCAGACCTGTGTGTGCACATAGATTTGGGGGGGGAGGAGGGCAGTTGTGTAGTTAGCTGTCTTTTGTGTATTTTGAGTTAAATTTTAACCTTTTAACAACTACAAAGGCTGCACGTGGTATGGTGGATTTGAAGCCTATCAGGCAAATGTGGAAGTATGCATATACTTAAAAACTCAAATGCTACTTTAAGCTGTTCCAGCCTAATTACCAGGGCTGAATTCCAGCCTTTTCCTTTCAGCTGGTGATTCAGCAGTACAGATGTGAGGAGGTGCCAGACAGTAATCAGCTACACTGGGAGAAATGGGGACCTCAGGGGACTCAGCCTGGGATGGAAGGGTCTCATTCAAGTCTGTGTGCTTTGCAGGTGTACTTGCATGCTAGATAGCTTGGTAGCAGGTGTTTTTTTTTTCCAGAGTGGTTGTGTTTCTTGTGGAAGAAAGAACAGGATTGGACAAGAGGGAATGGCCTCAAGTTGCACCAGGAAAGGTTTTCAAGTTGGATATTGGGAAAAATTTATTCTCTGAAGGAGTGACAGCCCATTGGAACAGGCTGTGCAGGGTGGTGGTGGAGTCACCATCCCTTGAGATGTTGAAGGAAAGGGTAGATGTAGTACTTAGGGGCATGCTTTAGTAGGGAAATATTAGTGGTAGGTGGGTGATTGAACTAGATGATCTAAGAGGTCTTTTCCAACCTTAATGATTCTATGAAAAATGTTCTAAGAAAAGTCTGAAAAGCTTCCCAAGGGTTTGTTCACGTATGATGTTGTCTGCCTGTAATCTTCAACTCGCCTGCAGCTTGCTAGGCTTGTGTGTGGGTAATGCTGTACCCTAGCATTTTGCAAGGCATTATTATTGGAAGTTTTTTTTCTTTTTCCTGGCAGTCAAGCAGTAAGGGAGCACACAGCCTGCTGCAGCCTGGAGGGAGCAGAAGCACGACAGGCTGTAGGCTCCTCACTCCCTTCTCTGCTGCCAGTGAACCCTCGGTAGGCCCCAAGCAGGTGGGCTGGGGCTGTGTTCTGGGCTGATCTGCAGCAGATTTTTTGTCCTTTCCCAGCATTTTCTGTCTGTTTTTAACACCTTAGCTACTGGCTGCTTCCAATTGAAAGTCACCCAGGTTGCATACCCTTGAGCAGGCCTGACGTTGGAGTGTTGGAATGCCCAAACCAGCACGTCACCAGTGCCATTTTCTGAGAGGCATTAGAGCTCAATGAAGCTGCTGCATCAATGATGCCACTACAGGCACCTCACCCTCGGACTGCACGTGCAACATGAACATTTGGGTTGGTGGCTGCATCATCACCTCCCCATTGGCCCTGAGAGCTCAGTGGTGGTGGTTGTCATCTGAGATGGGTTGGGAATCTTGGAGCCAGCCTTCCTCCTTCAGATAAAAATTGCCCATTGCAAGCCTCTGAGCTCCCCAGGAGCCGACGGTGACTCATTTCCTCTGCCACAAAAACACCACTGGCTGTTGCTCCGCATGCTGATGATTTCTGCAGAAATGGGGCATCTGAGTGAGCTGTGGATTGCCTGCAGTCTTCAGAGCCATGGCACTGGTGACGTTTAATTGCAATGGAACACAGCGCTTTGATTTTACAGTGTGTATTTAGTTAGAAGTTGTGGTTAGCACACAGCACGTGTGGCTGTGGGGCTGGCTGCATTTTAATCTGTGGTGGTCGCCTGTGCATAAGGTAGCTCTGTAAAACCTGGCATCTGTACAGGCTAATCGTATTTATTGTTTTGTTTTATTTTGGTGGGGAAAAGGTAATTCATTTAGTTGAAAGTGGGGTTTAGCCTATGCTGCTTGCTAACAAGGAAACCGAAATCTCTCATTTTTCCATCCCTGTACACCTGCATATGGAGGACCAGATGGCTAACTTGAGGTGGAAAATGTGTAAAATCAGTACGTCCGAGGATTATTGCCAAACTCTTCCAGCAGAGAGGAGAAAAACGTGAAAGTGAGATTTTATTTTTAAGTAGTTTGTATACAGAATTTGTGCAAAGTGTTAAATTTTGAAAATAACTCCCCATATGAAAAGCATCAGGGTCATAACTGATTAGCAGCAGAACAACTTGTACTTGGTGTTCTGCACCAAAAATCATTTTTTCCCTTTCGTGTTTTCTTCCAAAATTTAAATACAAATATCATTCCTGTTTGCCAAGAGACGTGCCAGCTGCTCGTAATGGATTTAAACAATCTACAGTTTCTCTCAAAGCTGAGATAAACACACATGTGATGCTTTGGAACTTTTCTCCTACCCTCATATTTTCTGATAGTTAAATTAGAAAAATAGTGGTATCGAGTTGCTGGCTCGTTGCATTTGGATTGTCTATAACTGTATAGAGAAGAGCTAGATCTGCAGTGAGGACAGCAGCTGGAAAAACTGTTAGTCTGTCCTGGGACTGACTTTAAAGCTTGGTAGATGAGAATGTGCCAGTGTTTAATGTATGAAAACACTTCTTTTTAGGAGCATGCGTGTCTGTGAAGAAGGCAGATTAGCTGTGAGTCCAGCTGGGTCACACAGCATGGTCTGAGGATGCTGTGTCCTGCTGCCTTTCCCAGGTGCTGACCCCAGCTACAGTTGTGTACAGTCACCTGCCTTCAATTTGTCCCTGTGCAGCGAGAGCTGGTCACACTTGTGCAGACAGCAGCAAATAAAATAAAGATAAAATAAGTATAAACATAAATCACATAGGTCTGAGGCCAGCATGCCATCAGCTCTGGCTGTCTGTGGTCTTTGTCTTTGCTTCTTGTTGCCTGGCTGTCACCTGCAGCATTCCCTGCCTGCTGCAAGCACTGCCATCTCTCTGCCTGACTGATGTGGGATGGAAAGAACTGCCGCAGGAGAACATCACTAGGTGAGACTTAGCAGTTAGGGGTAGCCACCTTTTGCAGATGGATTAGCTTAGCTCAGTGACACGCTCCACAGTCTATCTGCCTCCCATGTACTACTGCCTCCCGTGTACTATCTGCCTCCCATGAGCTTAAAGCATCCTTCCTCTAAGTTCTCCCGTTCCTTGGTGCAACTTTTCATTCCCCATAGGATATGAATTTGGGGAGTACCCCCCTGGGGTCCTGTTGCAGAAGAATTCTGCACCTGGTTTTCTGGGGATGGCACATTTCGTGCTGCTGTTGCTCCCTGAATCATGCGGGTGAGATGATCAGGGCTGTCTGGATACCCTTTGGCTGTGTTTTTTTTCTGGGTGACAAGACCTGACAGTGCGGTTCTGCACCTGGATGTAACCGCAGGCTGTTGCAGCAGCTGCCTGAGAGCTCATCCTCTTGAAAAATGACTTTCTTGCATGACAGAAAGTAGTTTTCAGCAGTAGGTTTCCTGATGCAGCTTGCTTTGTCGCAGCTCAGGCAGGTGGGAATGCTTGCCTGGGGAAGAG